TTAAACAAAAAAATAATAATAATTTGGTCACACTTTATTTTGATTGTCTCTTTGTTGAATTTAAGTTACATTGCATCTACATGTCAACTAATTCTCATTAGATTATTAGTAAACAATTAGGTTGGGGTTCTGGTTAGTGTAAGTTGACATGTACTTGTCTGTTTAGCAGTATCAACATATATTAAGCAGACAGTCTACTAATAATCAAATGGACCATCAAAAGTGTTACCTATATATTTTACAATGTCATGTTACATTTTAGCTACTATGCTCTCAAATTATTCCCACATAAATCTGCAGATATTTGTTTGACAAAATTCTGAGCATAATTGGCAAAAATAAGCAGAATTTGCCTGGCCATGCTCAGGAGTAACTCTGCTCATAAATGTTTGGAGACACACTCAGAGAGACAGTCAGCGTTGAGGGTGACACACCTGCAATCGAGATCTTATCTACAAACCTCCCCCTCTGGTGTAGAGTTCCTGGGGTCGAGAAGAAACAGACAACCAGAAATGGGTGGTCAGTGCATGCTCAGACAACTCTGAAGACTCCTCACACAGATTTACAACATACACTATCTCAACACATCTAATGAAGTGAAATAAGCTTGTTAGCTTTTATTTTACTTTTCTTCTGCAATACCTCAATGATGTTGGTTCATACTGTATTTAGAAAGAACTCAGTCGACCTACGGAGTGCATCATCCTATTTTGCAATCGTTTACGAAATTTGCCTTTTATAGGTGTGTGAGTTCATACTGTATAGTTAACATTTCCAGAAGCTTGCCTACACTGTAAACTGCACTGCCTTACATTTTTAGTCGAATCAAATGAACTTTTCTAGTCAACTCAACTTATTTCAGCCAAACTGAATACAAATATGAAGTTAAACAGTAACACTTTAGTTCATGCTATTAACTACTGATTTATTACTTGCCTGTTATTAAAATGTTAACTGTTTATTATGATCTTATTCTGCATCCCTAATCCAACCATAAACTTAAACCCAACTTCTACATTATTAGTCATTAATAAATAGTTAATTAATAGTTTATTAAGCTAGTAGTGGTAGTTAATGGTTTGTTAGTGCCGTGAATTGTGACCTAAAGTGTTACCTGTTAAACTTTTTATAACTTTAAAAATGTAGTTAAAACCTGAATAACTTATTCAAATAAATCAAATCACCATAAAATCCTCTACTGTCTTGACTCTCATTGCATTTTACAGTGTACACTATAAAAAGCAATTAGTTACTTTACTTTAAAAATTAAGTAGTCCCCATTAGTTACCTTAAAAGTGTCAAGTTGACTCTACTTGATATACTCATTAAAAGGGACTTAACTTAAAGTGAATTAAACTGTTACATTAAAAGCTATATGTTGACTTTAAAAAGTGAGTTAATCCATTGTAACTTGTAATTGTTAAGCTGATTTAACCTATTTTTAATTATGCAAAAAGTGGTTACAATTCACAATAAGGTTGTTTTAGCTGCTTTGTGTAATATAAACTATCAATCAGCAATAGATCTGTTATAGCATATTAATAATTGTTAACGGTACTGTTGTACATTTAATATAATAGTAAATTAGTAAATGCTAAAATTTACTTTACGATTACTACAGTAAATGCTTTAGAAATGTTTTTCATTGTTACTTCATGTCAACTATTGTGCCTAAAATTCTACAGAGAAACCCACCAATAAACACAATAAAAGATCGACTCATGATAATATAATAATCTACTAAAGTGAGTTAAAGGCACTATAGGTGTGGTTCAGATTTACCTTAAAAGCAACATGTTGACTTAAAAAAAGTGAGTTAATCCATTGCAACTTGTAACTGTTAAGCTGACTTAACCGTATTGTGCAAAAGATAAATCCATGTTATAATAATCTACTAAAGTGAGTTAGTGGCACTATACTGTAGGTGTGGTTCAGATTTACCTTAAATGCAGCATGTTGACTTAAAAAAGTGAGTTAATCCATTGTAACTTGTAACTGTTAAGCTGATTTAACCTTTTATTATTATTATTATTATTATCATCATTATGCAAAAGATAAAGCCATGGTAATATAATAATTTACTAAAGTGAATTAGTGGCACTATAGGCGTGGTTCAGATTTACCTTAAATGCAGCATGTTGACTTTAAAAAGTGAGTTAATCCATTGTAAACTGTAACTGTTCAGCTGATTTAACCTATTTTTTATTATGTAAAAAGTGGTGCATTTCACAATAAGGCTGTTTTAGTTGCATTAAGTAATATAAAGTATCAATCAGCAATAGATCTGGTACAGTTTATTAATATTTGCTAACCTTACATACTGTTGCACAATAGTTAGTGTAATAGCTAAATGCTTTAGAAATATTTTTCATGGTTACTTCATGTTAATTAACGTACTTAAAGTAAAGTATCAAAATTCTACCAAGAAACACACCAATAAACACAAAAAAGATTGACTCATGATAATATATCTACTAAAATGAGTGGAACGTGTGGTTCAGATTTACTTTAAAAGCAACATTTTGACTTTAAGAAGTGAGTTCATCCATTGTAACTTGTAACTGTTAAGCTGACTTAATACATTTTTTAAATGATGCAAAAAATGGTTACATTTTTTTAATATGGCTATTTTAGCTGCATATAGTAATTAGCAATAGATCTGCTATAGTATATAATTAATTGGTAACATTATATATTGTTGCACAATAATTAATACAATAGTTTAAAATAAATTTGTAAATAATATTAGATAATATAATAACCTACTAAAGTGGCTACTCTTAAGCATGTCATGTATTTAAAATAACTAGCAGACCAAACATTCAACTAAATTTAGATTCTAAACTACCTTTCCACTTACTGAATTAGTGGCACTATAGGTGTGGCTCAGATTTACTTTAAAAGCAACATGTTGACTTTAAAAAAGTAAGTTAATCCGTTGTAACTAGTAACTGTTAAGGTGATTTAATCTATTTTTTATGTACAAATTTATGTAATACAAAAAAAAACCCACCAAAAAAGCTTTTTAAATTGCTTTAAAAGCAGCAGGTTTACTCATTTTTAGAGTAGTCAACTAATTGCTTCTTCCATTAGAAACAAGATGTTCATATCATCGTATCAGCATGCAAATTAGATTACAGATTACACAAACCTACAGAAAAACAAACACAACTCTTAAAAAGTGCCACATGAAATCGTATTCCCAGGTGACTGTGAGAATCAGTGCTCAGGAATTCCATCAGATCTGTAATCAGTCAAACCCCTGCTGCTTCCTACCCACATGCCCATTGTCTTGCTTCGAATGCCTATAGAAATCAACAGGAGAGGTGGGGCATTCCTGCTCCTGTTCAGACTTGAGCTCACGGCACATTGTAAAAAAAAAAAATAAAAAATTAAATTAAAAATAAAAAAAACATGCCGTTTTCAACACTATTTTGTGATACAATGTGTAAGGAAGTTACAGCAATAAAGACCAAAGTCTGCGGCTGAGCGTCATGTCAGCACAGGTAATGGTACTGTTAGAAACATGCAAAAGAACTTGCATCCCAAAGCATGAATTGAATGCATTTTACAGCAAGAAATAATGAATAAATGTGAGTAATAATTGACAAGGCTGTTTTAGCTGCATTGAGTAATACTAAAACTATCAATAAGCAATAGATTTGATACAGTATATTAATATCAGTTAACGTTACATGTTGTTGCACAAGAATTACAATAATAGCTTCAAATAAATTTGTAAATGTTGAAACTAACTTTAAGATTACTGCAGTATATGCTTTAGAAATCTTTACATTGTGAACTAATGCACTTAACAAACATTGCAAAGTATCAAAATTTGTATCGATAAACAGAAATAAATCTAAAGCCCATAATAATATAATAATAAAGACGCTACTCTTAAGCATGCTGTGTGCATCAAATAACTAGCAAACCAAAACCTTAAGCTTAATTTATATTCTAAACTCGCATTACACTCTCTGAGTTGGAGGCACTATAGGTGTGGTTCAGATTTATGATACTAAGGGGTGCGGTTTACAAAAAAACGGCTTATTCCCATTGGTCGTCGCCTGCTGGTGTATCAGCGCTACCTAAAGCAGGTAGGCAAATAAAGACAGACCTGAGAAAGAGGATCGCACTGCTGCTCATCCCCACGGGACACAAGCACACACACTGGGACCAACCTTAAACCCTCCAAGACCTTCGTTCTAAACGTTTAGGCCTTTTATTTTCGACAAAACAACACATTTTAGTTATTTTTGTTTGTTTTGCACCAAGTTGGATCTAACAGTCTGAACAAGGTGAGTGCAAGATGGTCAAAACTGAGGTGGGTAACATATAGTACTTAAGGAAAATGTCTATTTATTAATTGATTATGCTGTTTTTGATTTTGTTGTACATTCAAGTTGGCTAAAATGATGGTAAACAAAGTAGCACTGTTTATGAAAAATATATGAATGTGCGTACATATATATATCCTCAATTTCAAAAGGAATCGTTGTTTGTGTGTATTTAGGAGGGTAAATGAGTACAGCTCAGAATGGAAACACTTGGAAAACCCCCTTCACACACCTTAGCAGGAAGGGGGTGTGGGGTTTAGGCTTGAGTTACACTGTTGAAGTGATAATGCACAGGTTTTTTTGTGGTTGGCAAAGCAAACAGGCCTCTTACCTGCATGACCTGCAGGCACAGAGGGAGAGACAGGTTTGGGCTCGCTGAAGGGAGAGGCCGAGTCATTCTCTCACACTCTCTGGATCCCACAGCCCTCAGAACAGAACATCTTGATCCTGCACGGCAGAAAAGAACACCAAATTAGAAGTTGAAATTTTGAAATTTGAAAAAAGATTATGACAAATATTATTTATTAATAAAAATATTATTAATATTATGACTTTTACTTGTTTAAATGAGCATAAATGAGAGTGTTTTCAAACAACAAGTGATTAATTGACTGCTTATGTTTTATTTCACACAGGAACCAAAGTGAGGTGGATGGCCTAAAACTACTGTGCATTCTATCCTTCATTCCACCGGAGTCTGTGTAGTTGTTCAATCAGATTTCAGTGGTGTGAAGTGTAGGAAACACGGAAAGATCGCATCCCTTTCTGCAATGCTATGCATTTATTAACAGCAGTTATGAGGTGAAGCACATGTCGAGAGTACAACTGGAAGTTTTAGAAAACATGCAAGCATGACTTGTTTTCAGTTGATGTATAATTTGCCATGTGCTTTATACACGGATCAATGCAGGCCGTGACCGTTTTATGCTAAACGCTGTGAACGCTAAGCTCTGGCTGTCCTATTATGCAGCGAGCGCTTTTAAGTTCAGCGTATCTAAACATCTATGTAAAGTAACGTACCTCACCCTGCCCTTTAGCGCGGCGCTTTAGCCTCACACAACCTGGCATGTTTGTTCATTTGCTGTTGTGAAGAGCGTCGAGGCGGGTTGAATACACGCACACACCTACACAAATAAGATTCACAAAGCCTGCCAAGATGTATTTATGTATGCTGGTTCAGCCTTTATCCTCTCAACCCACACTAATAAACTCACTTCACAAAATGTCTTTGTGTGAATTGCTTCATCCTGACAATAAACTATTACAATAAAACACAATCCTCACCCGCTCCCTTGGCATTTGTAGTATGAATGTTGCGCTTTATGAATTTCAATTAGTCCACCAAAGTGGGCTCCAAATCTGTGACCTGCTCTTTGCGTTCAAGCGCTGAGGTTTGAGATGATGTTAATCTTGGAAATGATTTCACACAAAAGCCAAAGCTGAGGTGAAACCAGTTCAAGGCAAGAACTGCGGAGGGCTTTAAAGTGCATCAACATTCAAAGAGAAGCAACTTTGTTTCGTTTTTTCTGTTGTTGTTCGGCTGTTTAGTCGATTTCCCTTGTGGACAGACATGTTCAGCAGCTTCATGAAAATGAAAAATAAATGCAAAGTTAGAGTTTCGCCTTAAGGTTCGCCTGTGGCTTTTCACGCACAACAAAAAAACTATAGCTTCTTTATTGTTCAAAAGTGATCAAACTATTTTTAAAAAAGCCTCAGATTAATATCTAGATAACGCTGGATTGAAAATGCATGATTCAGATAAAGGTAAAGCAATCACGCACGTCATATGAATCAATGGTTTCATAACTGATCGTTTTCAAACACAGCATTGCAGCAGAGATTGGCAGGAGTTATGCAAGGGATAATGCACATTAGGCTAGTCATTATCACAACACAAACCTTGGCACAAAGCAAAGAGGTCTTGTATAACAATGAAGGGGTTTATTTTGTGATAATGAAAGACTGATGATATTATAGAACACCTGCCAGTCATTTTGGCAATGTTAAAAATAGCATAAACACAATTATGCTTTTTACATTCCAGTAGTCCATGCATGAAAATAATGTTTGCAGTTATTTTCAGAGGGATATATGAACTGATAAACAATATAGCTTGGATTTCTAAAGTTTAAAGGTGTATTTACATTTAGTTTTCTTGGTTTGTTTGGGTCGACAGAAGTAACTGAACACCTAAAACAATGCTCAGTGTGTATGCATTTATGAAATTTGAAAGCAACACAGACGTGTCCTTAACTGGCTTTAATATCCCACAATCTTGCATGTTACGTTTCTGGCAGTTGAGCTCAAAAAAACTGAACATGGCATCTCAAAGGGTTGCTTATGAGTCATTGTATTTGTAAACGTACATTTTTTGATCAATGTTTTCTTTTGATGGACTTACTAGCGAGACGTTAGTATTGTACTAAGAAAATAATTTCTTAGTTATCACCAAAGTTGTCTCTATGTTGTTGTAAATGATAAAATAGTGATGCTGTCTCAGAAGTGTCTGAAATCAGTTGTTTATAATATAGTGAACCTTGTTGTTTATAATACTTTATTAACACACTTCTATAATACTAAATTTTAATTGCATTAAAATGTTTCTTTTATTTGGTGTACGCTTCATGTTTGGGGTTCTCCAGGTCAAAAACATTTTTTACATAGGTCCTGTATAATAAACTTTCATATTTAATTTTTTTATATTTTATTTTATATTATATTTTCCATAGTTAATTAAATAATCTGAACAAGGTTTTAGCAAACAGCACTGATAGTTCCTATTTTGCACTGATGCAAATGCTAGCATGTCATTTTAAATGGCCGGTTCAACAGTTTAATATCCCCATTAAATCCACAGAGCATTTTAAATCATTTAAGAAGCACTGCTGTTCTCAGCTGTTGTTCAAAGAAGTTACTTAGTTGTTGTTGTTGTTGTTCTTGTCATAGTTCAATCATTTATGTTATGCTAACTGACAAAGAATCATTACTTCACTTATAGTGTAGCTTTAAAAAAAATTTATTTAAAATATTACCTACATTATTTGGACATAAAAATATATTTTTTGCAAAATTATTTTGATGCAAATACCAAAATGGAGCATATCTTATTTTTTTATACAAAAAAGATCTAATATTTAATAAAATCTACATGAATCGATAATTGCTGAGATTTTCATTCCAGCATGTTAAAAGTACAAATGAAATCAAAACTAAACATATGATTGTCACCTCAAATTACTATTTTTATGGTGAACAATTCATCTGTGCATTTCATTAAGAAAAAAAATTGTTTGCCCTTCTAATCTTTAATTGAAATCTGAAAATGCACTTCCTGCTTGTTTTCAGTTAAATTGTCAGATTGTCTGTGGTATTGGGCGTGGCTAACATAATTAACCACACCTCTCCAACTGTCAGTTTTAACAACAAACAGAAATGGTTGGGAGGAAGTGTTTGTTAGGTTGTAATAACTCGTCTAAAACCTTTTTCCCAATCTTTCTAAATGAAACACCCACTTTACTACATTCATTCGGCCCGCAGTAGAAAAAAAACAAGCTACGCCCACTGTTTGCTCATTTAAAATTTCGTTGACATGACTTTTTTTAATGCGCATACTAAAGTTTGTGCAATAAAAGTATTTCCATTGTAGTTTTTATGCACATTTTCAAAATTTACGCACATCTTGGATTTTCCATCAACCGTTTTTATCCAAAAATATCCAAAATGCACATAAAATAGGTGGATGAAAACATAGACTGTGAGAGGGGTGTAGTTAAAAATGTTTCTATAACTGTTGTCAACAAACACCACCACTCCAAATGCAGAAGCAAATGGTCAGACTTTGGTTAAAGATTAGCATTTTTTTCCACTTCCACATATTAATTGTTCACTTGAAAACAACAGCATTCATTCATTCATTTTCTTTTTGCCTTAGCTCCTTTATCATTCTGGGGTCGCCATAGGGGAATGAACCGCCAACTTACAAAGCATATGTTTGTATGCAGTGGAAGGCTTGCAGCTGCAACCCATCTCTGAGAAACATCCATACACATTCATACACTATGGACAATTTAGCCAACCCAATTCACCTGTACCGCATGTCTTTGGAATGTGGGGGAAACCGGAGCACCCGGAGGAAACCCACGCAAAAAACAGGAAGAACATGCAAACTCCACACAGAAACGCCAACCGACCCAGCCAAGGCTCGAACCAGCGACCTTCTTGATGTGAGGCAACACCACATTCACACAATTCTTAGATCTAAACTGTAAAGGTGTGTTCACATTTAATTTGCTTGGTTTGTTTGGTTCTACAGAAATCGCTGGACACCTCAAACAATACTCAGTGTGTACTGTATGTGCTCACGTACTTGTATTTTTATCATTGGAAAACTATAAGATGTGTAAAGGAGTCAAAACAGAAGCTAGACAAAAAAAGCTTGAGAAATATATAATTTAAGGGCATCTTGTGACATGTGTTGTTTTTGGTTCAGTAAAGATGTCATTGATCAATTTTATGCTTCTATTTCAGTCCAATCACATTAGAGTACATTTAGAAGCAAGCCAAAATCCATAACTTCATCCTGTCGATCTGCTTGTGTAGTTAAGGTTACACTTTCACGGATTAATTGCTCACTTGACATAAGCTAGCAAAATAACCATTGTAAATTAAGATTTAACATAGACTTTAATGTAGGAAAATATTGCTTTGCTTAATTTATATCCATGGAGATTATTCATTTAAATCCTCACAGAAACTAAAAATAAATTAGAAGAAAATGAAGGTGTCCTTCCCAAAGACCTTGACTATTTCAGACTGTGGCAATCCCAGCCTGCAGCACTGGCTGGTCCTTCAACAGAAACCGGCCTAACAGAACCAACTGTCCAGAGAAAAGAACACACTGTTTAGTTTCAAATTCCACAAGTGATGACTCATAACTCCGGATGATTTGAAAATAAAGACATAGCCAAAGATGTAACTGCCATCTCCAAGACTTCAGTCACAATGCTAGCATCTGTGCTCGGCTTCTTCCTCCTCCTTTTTCTCAGCCCAAGTCTTGCTGATGATACAGGTGAGTGGAGACGGTTTACAGCTGACACATAACAAACAGGCACAAAGATCTGCGTGAATGATCCACCGGCTGTGCTGTATTGACATGAGGGGACGGTTTATTCACAGAAGGTGACAGTGATAGAGGAGGAAATGTGTTTCTCCTATCACGCATCCCCATTAATTGATTACACCTCTTCTCGGCTATGTCACGCGTCTGCTGCTCCTATGAGGCTAACAGCTGTTCTATACATTCCTCCAAAGATGGTTTTTGTAACTAATGCCATTAAGACTGTCAAGCCTGAGACAGGTACACTAGAATGACAAAGGCACAGCAGTGTGCATATACAGTGTGATATGCATACATTTACACAACAGGGCTGTTAAATGCTTGATTCTGATTGGCTGATAAACATTACAATTTTGGAGGACCAAACCTGCAAAAATAAATAAATAAATGTACATATACACTTACACTCACCGGCCACTTTATTAGGTACACCTGTCTAACTGCTCATTAACACAAATTTCTAATCAGCCAATCCCATGACAGCAACTCAATGCATTTAGGCATTTAGACATGGTCAAGACAGCTGATCTACAGAGATTTTCACGTACAACCATCTCCAGGGTTTACAGAGAATAGGTTGAAAAAGAGAAAATATCCAGTGAGTGGCAGTTCTGTAGGCGCAAATGCATTGTT